CTCATTAAACATAAGGATGTTATTCTTAAATTATTTATAGTCAAGCTTTATTGGATTGACCCACCATGCGAATACTACATAGTTTACTATGTAAGTGTCATAAGTTATTCTCATAGTGATAGTGGTGTATACCACCCTTCGACCTAAACCCACTATGGTCCCTAGATGTGGAGTCGGTACTTTATTGTCAATCAAACATTGTCCGTAACAGGATGACCAGAAATATGGTTGATGGGTACTTTATAAATCATGTTGAGGGACATGAGTGACCTAGATTGGATTTTCCTCTCTTACATATACGAAAGTAATATCTATGGGCCTCTTGATAGAGTATGACTGTAAAATGTATGGTCGTGCTCAAATAAGTCAATATGAGATATTAGGTGTATTCGTTATTATCAAGTATACTCGGGATCAAGGAATGTAATATTGGACTATACAAGGGTGAAACATTTTATGCCTTGTGTCCAATATAGATATAAGGGCAAAAGGGTAATTGTACACATGATCATTATCACAGAAAGGTTATGTCAGATCACATGACATTCTCGTCACTTGGGTGGCAGTAATGTATTGCTAGACACCACTCACTATTTATAATATTAAATAAGTGATTTAATATTATTGTTAACGTACCAAGAACCTACAGGGTCACACACAAAGAGTACTGGCAATGGAATGAATGATTAAATTAAAATGAGATTTAATTTAATTAGATTTTAATTGTATTGTTTAATAAATTAACACAAGTATAATTTATTTGATTAAATATAATTTAATTAAATAAATGAGAATTGATAGTTAATTAAATTAAATATGATTTAATTTAATTAATATTTATTTTATTTAATTAAAAGAGTTTAGTTAAGTAGAATAATATTTTATTTAATTAAAATAGTTTAATTAAATAAGATTGGGCTTGTTGTGGAAAAGCCTAAAAATATGAGCATTAGAGTTTTAGTAGCTCTCTATAAATAGATGATTTATTTCATCTACAAATGTTAATTGTCAATTTTCTCATAACAAAAAATGGCTTGCACCGCGTTCCACTTTGTACTTGCGTGGACTTCGTAGAGAAGATCGTATTTTCCATGTTCATGATCAAAGTCTAAGCATGCTTCAAGAGGTCATTCGGAATCCTTAATATGTGTTTGATTTGTGATTAATGGTTTAAGGTTTAAATATGTTTTTGGTTCTTATAAATATCTCAAATTTCATTTTTAGTCCTTATTAAAATAATGACAAGTTTTAGTCCCTACAAAATTATTATGCACGTAGTTTTTGTCCCTGTTGTTAAACTAATGTGTATTTTTGAATGATTATTTTGTAGACATGTTTATAACGTTATAAAAAGTTCCTTGGAAAAAAAGAAATTCAAAATTTGATTTCTAAGTCGAGATTTTCATTATTTTTATCAATATCTTTTGAAATTAAAAAAATCATATTTAATTCTTCTCATTTTAAAAAATTCTAAAATTTGATAAAGAAACATTTTATAGTATTTTAAAAACGTATGGAAAATATTATTCAAAAATTTAAAAGTTTTTTAAGGGTAATTAAATAGTTTTTAAAATTTTAGAAAATAACAGAGACTAAAACTGGATGAACAAATTTTTTTGAAGGACCAAAATTTATCATTTTTTTAATAGGGATTAAAAATAAAATTTAAGATATTTATAAGGATCAAAAACATATTTAACCCATGGTTTAATCAAGATATGTTCATTGGGATTGTTCTGCTAAGAGGATCAAATTTTTTGAAAAATCTCTCTTAAATCCCAATAGTGGTATCAGAGTTTCGGTTCAGATTAATCATTAATTTGATTAAATTTTATACATGATAATTATATAATGATATTATTATAAAGATATGTTAAAGATCGCTAATTTTAACAATCATTGAATTGCTTTTCAAATAATAGTTTTTGAAACATAAGTCGTTTTCGATGAGGTTATTATTGTTAATTGGTTAATTCTTGTTATGTGGTTATTTGGGCTTTTTAGCATGTATTTGTGTCTGGGCTATTTTTCCTATATAAAGGGCCATTGTGTTTGTAATAGTAAGCAACAATAATAACTAAATTCAGTTCAGAGTTAGTTACACTTAACTAACTCAACTCTCTCTTCTTCTTCTTCTTCTTCTTCTTCTTATTCTTCTTATTTTTCACAATATTCATCTTTCTTGAATACTTTGTTCCAACAAATTGGTATCAATAGCTTGTTTGTGATTCACAGTGAATCTAATGGAAAACGGATCAACAACATCAACACAATTTCCAGCAAATCTACCAGTTTTCAAAGGTGAAAACTATCAATGATGGGTGGCACAAATGAAGGTTATTTTCAGATTTCAAGATGTTCTAGAAATCTTGAATGATGGAATATCACAATTGGAAGTGAATGCTACGGAAGCCCAGAGAGATGAGCACAAAGATCGGAGGAATAAAGATGGCAAGACATTGTTCTTGATTCACCAGTGTGTGGATTATGATGTATTTGAGAAGATAATCGAAGAAGAAACAACAAAAGGAGCTTGGGAAAAGCTGAAGTCCTTGTATGGTGGAGATGAGAAATTGAAGAAAGTGAAGTTGTAGACTCTGAGAAAACAATATGAGATGCTTCAGATGAAAGAGGATGAATCTGTTTCTGCATATTTCTCAAGAGCAGTGACGCTAACAAACCAGATGAAGACGCGTGGTGAAGCGCTAACAGATCTGCAGAAGATAGAAAAGGTATTGAGATCTTTAATTATAGACTTTGATTAATTTACTATAACAATTGAAGAGGCCAAAAATCTATCTGAGATGAAGTTGGAAGAACTTCAAGCTTCATTGGAGGCTCACGAAATGAGACTGCAGCAAAGAAACTAAGAAAGAGAGAAGACAATTGAACAAGCATTGCAATCAAGATTCGACAAGAAAGCTGGAAAAGAGAAGTCGAAGTAGCAAAATAATCTTGCTGGTAATGAGAAGTCAAGCAAGAATACTAATTCGAAAGGTGTGGGCAACAAGTATTCTGGGAAGAAAGTTGACACGAAAGAGGTGCAATGTTACAATTGTCAAGGTTTTGGCCACTATACTAGAGACTGCCGAAGAAAGAAAGCTAAAAAGTTGAAAGATAGTGATGAAGCTCAATATGCACGAGCTGAAAGTAGTGACCATGATGATGTGTTGTTGCTGGTGAACACTCAGTCGAATACTGAGAAAAAAAATTTTTGGTTGTTGCACCCCAAAATTTGCCCTCCTAGTTTCTCTTATTCTGGTTTGGACTTTGCGTTCATCTGCATCATTCCAGTAGGTCATGTGCATAGCACGCATTTTCATAAAAAAATAGATCACCTGAGGTTAAAAAGATCAGCAATTAGGGAGCTAGGGTTTACAGCTGATTTGAGGTGTATGTGTTGAATAAGTTTGATTATTCAGGGTCTTCTTAGTGTACAAGGCTGTGGAATTAGGGTTTTGGTTCATGCTCATTTTTGGACTTCTTCTCCATCCAGTTATAGGGCTAATATCTTCTGATGAACAACTGGTTGTAGGTCTTTCTTGTTAAGAACTCAAGGGCGTGACCTAGCATACATGGTTTTTAAATCAAGATGTCTCTTCATATAAGTGTGCTTATCATTTGATAATGGTTAATGATTGTGGTACGAAATTCATCCCTTCCTCAGTTAACCAATTCAGGTTTGGTTGAATTGTGGTTCAAAGATACTTCATCTGGATATTTCTCTGTGCATATGAATTGAGGAAGTCAAGTTCGTGAGGTGTGGTTATCATGATTTCTTTCTCTTTAAGATATAATTGTTTTTTATCCAGTCTTGGCAAGTGCTGGGGTTTTCATTTGCGCGACTAGGGTTTCATGTCAAGGGAATTCTTCTGTGATTCAAACCTTATCATCCATTTGTAAGATGTTCCTCATGACACTAATTTTGAGTTGAAATAACCAGTCGCTAAGGGCTGGGGATCGAATTGTGAAGCGTGATTCATGACCTAAGATATGAATTTGTGGACTTCTTCTTAACCAAGGCAATTATTATTCTTATCATTATCATTTGTCATCTGCAATGCGAGTAGATTTAGATCGAAGTAGGCTTCTCATTGAAGAATTCATGCAAAGTGATTCAAGGTTTGTCATGATTCAAGGTTCAAGGCATTCAAGGCAGGGTTTTGTTCAACATGGCATACCTAGTTGATTGGCTTACAAGCTCTTATGAGACCTTGAGATGCATAATCATGGGCCAAGTTCAAGATACGTGGATAAGATCTTTTGACTTCGGTCAAAGTAAACTTTGGAAAATTAACTTTTGGACCAAGGTCTCCCTTGAGCTTTCATCTAATACGTGTTAGGCATTCAAGTTGCATTTGAAGAATGGTATGGAAAAAAGAAAAGAAATATTGGTTCAGAAAAGGAAAATTTCATTAAAAATCAAGGTTTATACAAGCTGCAGGTTAATGCGCATGATCATAAGAAACCATTCATATATTCAACATCACTTGATGCAATAATCATGAATAATCATGAAGCCATTACATCATAAATCATTACATCAATACCTAGCGTAAACTTAATCCTAAAAATCATTTGTGCTCCAATTTCTTCAGTGTCGTAAATCCAATATTCAAAACCCATCCATCCTTCATTACCAAACTTGCAAACTTTCTCAGAACCTGTCCAAAATACTTCAGCCCTGCATCATGTTCTAATATCAAACCAAAAATCTGCATCCAAGTCTACAAAATCGATTAACATCCAAAATGTACAAACATACACAATGAATCGTATTTCTGCCCATGTTTCAGTAAAAAGTTACCATGCGCATAAAGAGGCATACACCCGTTCAAAACCAGCTTAAGCAGGCTTCAAAACCAGTTCACTATTTTATCCATAATCAGCTGCATATCCATTGAAAGGGTTCCCTACTGTGCATACAGTCCAAACAAAGTTCAGACCGGTTCACAGTGATTTCCCTTCATTGCTAAACTTGCAGCTACATCATAACGTCACCCATTATACTGCTCTAATCAGAGCTACTGCATACCTGATCTTGACCATGTACTAACCTGCACCAGAACATTTTTAAAGAAAATAAATAGTAAAGAATATCAGAGATTCAGTCAGGAAATATCAGAAGGAGAAGAGATTATGTTGCGTTCATCAATCACATCCCGAGCTAAGAAAAGTGCAATATTTGAAGCATCCATTATCCAAATCAAGAAATGTTCAGAAAGTATAAAATCAAAAATAAAAAATGTAATGAATAACCAATTCCAAACCTGGTTTATTCATATAACAGAAAAACAGAAATTCAGTTTTCGGTTCAGTAGGAAATGCAGAGGAAAAATAAAGGGTATCAGATATTTCACAGGAAAAATATATCAGAAAATGAGGAAACAGTTTTACAGTTCAGCAGTTTCCAACAGAATTCATGAAAGTGTTAACAGATTGCTAACTGAATCGAAAACCTGTGTAACCAACTCTCATCTCACCATTCATTCACTAACTGAGTCTCTCAAAACCAAGGGTTCAGATTAATTCAGCTCTAACAGACTAACAGAGTTACAAAAAGAGGATTGCTCACCTTGATTCAGGAGGAGGGGATTTCATTCAGAAATTCCACAGAAGAAAAATCACGGAAGAATCCTCTCCTTCTTCAATCTCCATTTTCTCTCACTTTTATCTTCATCCTCTTCCTTCAATCTACAGAAAAGAACCACAAATTCTTCATTCTGCAAGAGAATCGCAAAAGAAACTCTCTCATCTTCTAGCGCCAAGCTTCACCTCTGAACCTCTACACTTTATCTTCTCCCTGTATCTGCAACTACTGCACTTCATCCATTGTTCTATCATCTCTGCATAATTCAATCTTTTGCATCTTCATCTTTTCCGAACCGCTTAAAACAATACAGCTGCGTCATCCTCACATCTTCATCACTGCATCTTGAATCTTCATCAACATCAATAAACCGCAGTTTTATCGCCTTCTTCGTGATTCATCTTCTTCATCAACACCGTACCTCAACGACAACAACATCACAACACACAAGAAAAAAAAAGAAAAACTAGAAAGGAGATAGAAGAAGAGAGATGAAAAGAGAAATAGGCTAAGATACCTGAGTCTGAGTGTTCACCACAGTTCCCGAACATCGTCGCCGTCAAAGTGTATGATTCTCTTCTTGACACATCCGTGCAGATTGGAGCCATACGAACACTTTCCCCATGGTTGATTGCTCGGAGCCGTCCTCCATCACTGTCTAATTCAAGATCAGAAGGCTAGGGTTCGTATCTCGGAATTCAATTCAAATATTAGATCCGCTCCCTTATTTTTAGTGAGGGGGTTCCCACTCTCGAGTGAGGGATGAAGGGATCGACATCAAGAACAGGAGATTCCGGCCGTCATTTAGGGTGGATATCGGTGGCGTGTGTGATCCCTTTGTAAGGGCACGAAGAGAGAAAAGATGGTTGAGTTCCCGAAAAAGGCTGAACGACACTTTCCTTCTACCCTATCCTTTAACGGATGCGGTATCTTTTTGACAATTTGTTCCATTTTTTATCATTATTTTATTACTGGCTGAACGTTTGAATGAAAATTGGAAAAATAATAAAAATCTGAATTGAAAATTATTGGTGATATATGGACTGAACCAATGGTTATCTTGGCCCCATGATTTTTTTTCGGTAGCTTTTGGTTTGGTTACAACAAAAATTACTATTGGGTTCATTTCGACGGGCCTAGCACCATTTTGACGTTTGTTTGCAGTATACCCGGATTTCTGCCATGCACCCCCATGAGTCTTGGTTTTATTTTAGTTTTTTTTAGTCTTTTTATTTGATTTCTGATTTCATTTCTCTTTTGAATTTCAATAATTGAAAATGATAAAAATAGTATAGTATGATGAAATTTTTCTAGAATTTCTTTTCTTTTTATGTTTTTTTTATTATTAGAATTTTTCACTATGGTTTATGTTTAGTAATCATTTTGTTGCTTGAGATTTGTGATTCACCTTTACTTGTTGAGATTTGAGTCTTATGCAGATTTATTGTATGATATGCGGATGCGCTTGAGATTCCGATTGTGATTTATTTTCACATCGATGATGCGTCGATACTTATTTCGAGCATTTGATTTCTAACTCCTTTCTTTGGTTGGTGAAGTTTCACGAAGATTGTCGGGTATCTTTGTTTTGATAGGCTTTACTACGGATTGATATTCGTTTGGTATTTTCTCTCGTTTATCTCATTTCGCACTTTACTGCTTTCTAGATATCATGAGAAGTAGGAAATAAAGAGTGTGCGCTCGAAGTCGCTGTTTAAAGACCTGTAACAGGCATTCCACACTTCATTTACTATATGTTTTGTGCTTGTGTTTGTTTACTTTCTTGTCGATCGATGAGTCACTCAATTTAGAAATTGAGATCACGACTTCGCTCTTAATGCATGCTCCCTATAGGACTTTGTTGCTTTCTTTTATTTCTTGACGATCGATGAGTCACTAAATTTAGAAATTGAGATCACGACTTCGCTCTCATTGCATGTTCCCTATAGGATAGTTTTGTTAAACCATGCATGCCAACATTAGGTAGATGTTTCCCTTTCATTCATCCTGGACTTAGGGCTACCATTGTATGATAACATTAGGTTTAGAAATATGCTAGTCTCCCTTTGAATTTTCTTTCCCCTTTTGCATATGCATTTAAAACAAAAACTTCTTTTTCTTACAAACTTCAAAATACTTAAAAAATTACTGATGAGAATCATATCTTTGTTAAGTATGAGAGATGATAAGCGGGTTTCATCTCGACCTTATTATTCTCTTATTCTAAGATTTGGTATGGGTCAAGTCTCAAAGACTTATTTCTTGAATAAGTAGAAAAATGGCTAATATCTCTCTCTTGAGATTAACTAGCTGTTATCCATAAGCAATAACACCAACCAATACAAACTCTTTTTGCCTTTGGGCTTTTCTTTCAAACTCCTTTCAAAAGAACATGTTAATTCACTTTTGTGTTGACGCGTAAGTCTCCAAAGGTCGAGTTGCGGCAAAAGGCGAAATTAATATTGTTCATTAAAAAATACGAACCAACAAAAACATTTGAAGCCGAACTACGGCTGCTCTGATTCCTTAAAAGGGATACGTAGGCATCAGGGTAGGGCCCAAACGAGCACAATTTTATTTTTCCCTACATTATTTTCTCTTTTCTTTTGCATGCATTCTCCCTTCAGTAGTATAGTAACAGTAAGCATAGTTTGAACACACCCATAAGATAGATAACGAGAGTGGATACCGTAGAGTACTACGGGTACGTGGGGTGCTAATACCTTCCCCTTGCATAACAGACTCCCTTACCCAATCTCTCGGTTTCAAGACCGTGACTTCTCCCTTCTCAGGTTTTCTCGATGTTTACCTTTCCCCCTTGTGGGATAAAAAACGTTCGATGGCGACTTCATTGTTTGATGATTTTCAGCCGATTGTTTCAGTGGTATCTGGATTCAGGATGTAACAACCACATGATTGGCAATAAAAACTGGTTTACCGAGTTAGATGAGTCAGTCGAAAAGGTGATAGAGTTTGCAAATGGCAGGCATATCAAATCAGGTGGTAAAGGAGATATTCCGATTATTAGAAAGGATGGTCTAAAGGCTACTATCACTGAAGTTCTATATGTACCTTTGATGACAAGTAACTTGATAAGTGTAGGTCAATTACTTGCAAAAGGCTTCAATATGAAGTTGGAGAATAATCAGATGAAGGTATATAAGGATGATGGGAGGCTAATAATGAAAGCACCATTGGCGGAGAACAAAACATTCAGGGTTATACTCAACACATCAGATTACAAATTTCTTTCTTCAACTACATGAAAAGACAAGAACTGGCTATGGCATCACATGTATGGACATCTAAACTTCAAGAGTTTATGTATGCTCAATCAGAAAAGAATGGTGCTTGGGTTGCCGTATGTGAAGGAACCAAAGCAGATATGTGAGGAATGCTGCAAAGCTAAACATGCAAGGAAGGAATTCAAATGTCATTGCCTATAAGATCCAAGCAAAAACTAGAGTTGGTTCATTCAGATGTGTATGGATCCATTGAAGTAAATTCCAATAGAGGTAACTGGTATTTCCTTACTTTCATTGATAAATTCACCAGACATATGTGGATTTACCTTATTGAAAGGAAGAGTGAGGCATTCACACAGTTCAAGAAGTTCAAGTTGCATGCTGAGAAACAAAGTGGCTACAAATTAAAGAAGTTAAGAACTGATGATGGTGGTGAATATACTTCTGCTGAATTTTCCAGATTTTGCAATGAGGAAGGTATAGAGCATGAGGTTGTTTCACCCTATACGCCTCAGCATAATGGCATAGCTGAGAGAAAGAATAGAAGTGTACTGAACATGACAAGATGTATGTTGAAAGCTAAGAATATGCCTAAGAGATTTTGGGCTGAAGCAGCTTCGACAACAATATACATTCTAAATAGATGCCCAACGAAGAAAATGGTCGAAAAGACACCACATGAGGCTTGGACAGGGTCGAAGCCAAATGTAAGTCATCTAAGAGTTTTTGGATCAATGTGTTTTAGGCATGTACCTGAACAGTTGAGAATGAAGCTGGATGATCAAAGTGAAGTTATGGTGCTCATAGGTTATCATTCGACTGGTGCATACAAGTTGTATTCACCAATTGAAGATAAACTAGTGATCAATAGAGATGTTCTTGTAGACGAAAGAAAAGGATGGGATTGGAGTCGAAGTTCAGTTCGACATGAATCAGACACAATCACAACTGTGTTTGAAGAAGATGAACAGAACGAAGCTTCGAAAAGTAAAAATGAAGAACCACCTATGCAAAATGAAAGAAGATCCACAAGAACAAGAACTGAGTCGACTAGGATGATTGGATATGAGAGGTTTCCAGATCAAGTAATTGATGCTGATGGTGACTTAATCGAAGAAGCCATGATGATGGCTGAAGCAGAACCAATTGACTTGGGTGAAGCCTTGAGCAATTCGAATTGGTGTGAAGCCATGAAACAAGAAGTTAGATCCATTGAGAAAAACTGTAACACCCCAATTCTACCCGACAATTATATATGCAAATCAGAGTCATAAAATTCATGCAAACGAATCAAGATGCCACAAATTCATCTTTCAAAACACATTGCATTCATCGTGGATACATAAAACTTTAAAACTTCGGATGAACCATCAACATAATACTTTAATTAAATAATTCAAAAATTTAAACATCTACGTAGCGAAATTCTTAGTAACATCTGTATCCATCGTTACAGTAATTTCAAAACAACAATATTTAATAATAATCAAATTAAAGTTCAACAACTGAAATAATGAACAACTAAAAACAACAAGCGTTCATCCCCCCGAGTGTTACATATCAGAGCAATAACACCGTCTCGAACTACTGAAGGTATACGGCCTTCACTCTTGATTACCTGCACGCTACCAACGTAAGGGTAACATTCAAACAAAAGGGGTGAGATATCTAAAAATATAAAAAAATGTATGATA